GTAAAAGTTCTTGTTTCATACTCATCTATATCTTCTCAGCTGGATGGAGTTACCAGGCATTTTCTTCCACCCCTAATAACTCCGTCGTGCTTTACAAGCAGCCTAATGCCGCCTTGAATAGGTGATATCACAGGGGACTTAAAGGGACACTAAACTCAGGAGTTAGATCTTATAAATGCATTCAAGTACCCTATTAACAAACATGTATCTTATTTGTGTATTACTCGGCTGTAGATCCTCAAATCCTCTCTGAATTGGTGCTGACACTGTCCTTCCTTCTGGAGGGTAGCTACTTTTGTTCCCCATGGTCCCTGTGCATGGGGAACATACACAGGGACCATGGGTCCCATGGTTTCTTTCTACTGAAACAATTCATAGGCTATCATTTCTGATCTCTCATTTTGAAGTGCTAGTTCCAATGCTTTTATGGTGACCCTAAGGCTTAAATTCTTTGACTGTCTGGACAAGTAGTCAGATCAGGAGTTCTGACTTTTCTCTGACTTCACTAGCTGCATGCTTCCTTCTGGTTGGTGACTCAAAATATTTAACAAAGAGATAGTGCCACAACTAGTATCTTCACAAGGTGAGCCATCAGTGATGGCAGTTTCCATATTTTTTGGTACAGGTTTCCATTAATAAGATGTCATTGCCATCAGGTTTAGTTACTTGCTGTCTGCTTCTTCCTCTGTTGGCAAGGACTCAATACATTCATTTCCAGTTCCTCCTCTATGGAGAATGAAGCATGAAGACCGACTCTTTGGTTGGGGAACGGGGGTTATGAATTTGGGCAGAGTGCTCTTGCAGATGGGATATGGAAGAGGGATACGGGGCTATGGAGCAATTCAACCAACCTAATCTGCTATTGAGGAGCCTGATCATTTAGACCACATGTGCCTCAGAACTTGCAGTACTATTGTCGTACAATGTAGGGGCTGCTGTTGCTGGCTGCCTTCTGAAGATACTAGTTGCCTGATTGCCTGGATTCAGTATTACTGGGTTACAGACTGGGAATACACATGCAGCAAATACATGTCGGAATCTCTATGCTTTTTCCAGGTTGGTGACTATGTATTGATTTCAAAGTACCAACATGAAAACTAGGTAGCTGACATTTTCAGAAGGAAAGGTTAGCTATGAGCTTTGCATTTCACTTAGTAGAGGTTTCCTTTAAAAACATCAGAAGTGGCAGTAAGTTTGTGGACACCTAACCATCACACCTTTTAGAGATTTGTTGGACATCCCATTCCAAAGCCATGGGCATTAACATGGAGTTGACCTAGTTCTTCTGGGAAGACTGTCCACAAGAATTTGGAGTATATCTGTGTGAATGTGTGCCCATACAGCCAAAAACTATACTTGAGGTCAGGTATTAATGTTGGATAGGAAAACCTGTCCAGCAAGTTGTAATTAATCGGTTCATCCAAATGGTGTTCAGTAGGGTTGAGGTCAGGGCTCTGTGCAGGCCATTTAAGTTCCTCCACCTCAATCTCTTCAAACCATGTCTTTATGGAGCTGCACAGGGGCAATGCTATGCTGGAACAGAAAAGGACCTCCCCCAAACTGATACCACGAGGTTGGAAGAGTGCAATTGTCTAAAATGTCTTTTCTTTAATTGCATGTTTTATGCATCTCTGGGGACACCCAAACTCTATAATTTGTTGGGGTGGCCACATACTTTTAGCCATATTGTTGGTTGCCATGGTCAAGTGTCTATACACTGATGGCTCTATAGTATATCTATTCTCAGAGGTTCCTCTTAAAGTCATATCAATATCCTGGGCCTCAAGGACTAGAATTGTGCTACCCTGCTTTTAATCCTACAGACAAAGAATGTAATTGATGGGAGTACTTGTAACTCTGGTCATGCTGGGAGCAAGTTTTGGCATGCATGGTGATGTATAAGAGGAGCTACGTTGTTTGATTGCATTGTTCACACACCGAAAAGCTGTCTGCTTGCAAGTTCCTTACATGGCTCATCTCCTCTGGCATTGTACGCTTTAAAGGCGATGCCAATGTATGTAGACTGTAAATTGTGCAGTAATTATTCTCTTCAAATCAAAGAGAAGTATATGTATGACACATAAAGGATAGCTTCCTTTGTATTCTGGCTAATAACTGTTTGTTTATACAAAGGCTTGGGGTTTTAGCAGCTTTAAGTGAAGAATGTGACAAGTTGTCATTTTTCCTTAAGCTATATGACACAAGCCTTATTTATGTTGGCTACACTAATCAGTCCATTTAAAACTGGTATTTGAATTTTTGGTACATGCTGAAGAGTTAAAGTGTAAGTACAGCCAAAACATTTTTAGTTCCTCTGTTAGGTTTTACTGCCATCTGCGCCAGATTTCACCAGACAAAAAGTGAGAGAAAGTCTCCAACAGCAACACAGACAGAAATAAAAATGCTTTTTTCAGTAGGGTAGAGAAAGGCTAGAACCCCTGTGAGCTTTGTCTTGCTGTTTGAGTCCCTGCTACAGATTTCATCTAATTTCCTAGTTGCTGAACCTTGTCATTGTTATAGTATGTAAGGGGTAATCTCTCTAACGGTGCCCTGGCTAGCAATAACAAATCAGACATTTCCCCATTCCACCCAAAACTAAAACCTGTTTTTTTTTTTGGGCTAGACAAACACTGAAGGAATTGTTATGGGGTTTTAAGTGTTTGCCTAGCCAAAAAAAAGGGAAAAATAAAGAATTGTTATGGGATTTTATTTTTCCTTTGGAGATTCTATTGGTGGGATCCCTTACTGGAGTTCCGGAGTCTACACACCTGCTGTGGCTTTTCCTGCTGGAATTTTTCATTTTATACTATGGAAAATACAACAGGAGATGCAGGAACATGCAAATTCGGGTGGCAACACCCATAGGTCCCAGGTGGACAGTAGTAGGAATTATGTCAGGAAGATCTCATTGTTGGAGTATTCCAAACATGTACGTAGCCAGGGTCTAACTCTGTGCTCTGGAATATATTAAGGCACATGCATGAACAAGCACTTTTACATTCTCTTAGTAACACCAGATCCTACAACTGAAACTCTTATATTGCTTCAGAAATGTTGTCTGCTAAAGGCTGATCAATTCAGGCATTTTCTATAATGTGGTTGTATGGTAGCAAGCTAAAACCCATGCCTTTACCTGCAGTACTATGCCAGCACTACTCAAAATGTGGCTACAAAGCCCAACATGAGACTTTTGTTTCAGGGCCAATAATGCATCTATCACATTCTCTTCTGTAGCTTTATGACATTGTCTTCTGCTAGACAGAGTTTTTGAATGGGCAAAAAATCTGGAAGGAAATACAGCAGGACCCACCCTAAGGCCAAAGATATTAATGCAGATAGGTCTCTGACTTGCATGCCTGGACAAAATAGAAAAAAGTAGAATATTTAATCAATGCATGCACATTTCCCCATGTTTTATCCCTGCAAGTACATAAAAATACATATTGATCTACCAGAAATGCACTCGGCTCTTAATTTCCTGTTGTTGGCTGACAACACTCCGCATTTTGTGGACTGAAGTTGTAATAAATAGTGTCAGTCATGCCCAGTGTCTTTTGTTAAACTACTGAATCCTCCCTGACTATGTGTATGTGCAAGTCCAGGACAAGAACTGGGAGGGTTAATTAGGCTCCATGAAACACAGGACACAGGGCAGCTCAGAATTTCCCACATGATCAACAGATTTTGTTTTGCACTTATTAATCAGAACTAACAAAACACTATTATGAAAGGTTCTGTCATTTTAGTATTTTTTTTATTTTACAAGTCTAATTCAAGTTTTGTTCCTTATATCTCATATTTTAATCTTGTAGGGGTCCCAACATCTCAGGTGCTGGGACAGACGGAGGATCCCTAAGTGATAGCTCCAGCAGCGAGTACTCTTCATGGCAAAAAGGCTCTCGAGGGAGTTCCCCTTCTCATGTACGCTTCCAGGATGAGTCTGCGCGGGAGGCTGAAGAAAGATACAGGGAACGACAACAGGTTCCACATAAGGTCTCTACTCAAGCACTCAAGAGACAGTCAAATGGTCCTATTTCTTGGACAGAGCAGTTGTCCCCTTCAGGGCATGGACAGTGTGGAACATGTGGCTCTTACGTCAAAGGAACATGCACCAGTCCAGCTGCCACGCATGGTACCAATTTACGCAATGTCCATTTGGGCTCCAAAATGATTCAGGATGGCTCTGTGAGCTGCCCAATGGGGGTCAAACCTTCTCCTCACTGGATTTTACCTTCTCAACCATGGCGAATGTATACCGAGTTGATCCGTGAAACGCACATTGGCAGTGACTCTACTCCTGATTCGTCTGGAGATGATGATGGTAATCGAAGTCACAATAAGAAGATTCATGACTGGGGAATGCACAGACACTGCAAAAATAACTCAGCCAATGCAACCACCGAACAAGGAGCCAAGATACACCCTTCAAATACATGTTCAGAGAGTGAACTGAAAGTGGAAAGATCACGCAGTGATCAAAGCAATGGGAGCAGAATTGAAACTTCAAGTAATAAATTAGTGAAAATGAAGTCAAACCATTTAGAATCTGTAGGCAGAACATCAGAAACAAATCAGGGGATAGGTACTGCTGCAAGAAGTTATTGTGTGGACCCAGTGAGTACCGGATTAAGGAAGAATCCACAAAATACAGAAGCAAAACCCATACGAAAGCACAAAAATTCAACTCTTGGCACTGAACAGAATACATCCATTCAAGAAACTGGAATTGGTTCCGTTGTGCTAAATATAGACACTAAAGAAGAAAATTATCGAATGGATTTAACAGATTGTAGAACTCAGGTTACTCCAGTGATTCAGTGCATGTCACAAGTTATTTCTCCCCCTGTTACGTCTGGCCATGTGCCTGTCCCACCTTCTGGAAAGGCTCCCATAATGATGCCATCAAGAAATAGACTTACACTACGGCCAGGAGGCATTAGTCAGCAGCCACACAACACCCAGGAAGGAGATATGGTACAAGCCTCCCATGATAAAAAGGAACCTCAATCTAAACCAGTGCCAAATACCAAGAAAACCACTCATGAAACCCTGGGGGCTTCAGATGGTTACCAACTTTCTACTCAAGGAATGACATCTAAAGAATATAAGTCTAGAGAACGGATTCAGAAATTGAAGAAACATGCAGAGAACAGGAAGACTATGGAAGTCAAGGAAAACGGAGACTCCATGAAACACCAGGAACCCATGGAACTTGACAGTCCTTATATCAGCAGTAGACAAAAAGACTATGATAGACATCTGTCATTCAAAGACCAAAGAGACAAAGATCATGGTTTATTAAACCTGTCCAAGGAACCAGACGAAATAATTCATTCTAAAAGGGAAGATATGTGTACCGAGAAGTCGGGAATAAATGGGCAGCTAACCTGCAGCAACAATACAAATACGGGTTAGAAATTCCTTTATTTTAATCATGCTGCAGACCATCTAATGGTGGCCATATGCATTGCGATTTGTGATCAAAGTAGTTATGAACAATTGAAAACAAGCCATTCGTTATCCTGGCAACTCTTGAGACATGGTATTATTGCGCACTTTGTGATCGACCGATAATATGCAGTGGATCAAAGAAATGTTCTTGTAGTCATAGATCTAAACAATCATTTAATTGATCTGTATTACAATCTGTTCTCTGACACAAGGAGATAGTTGTTCGAATGATCAGAACTGATCAACAAAATTCCACCTTGGCCGATCAAATTGACAAAGTTAAAATCAATCTAGAGCTCAATAATGCAATTAAACAGAGGGTGAAAATTCATTCTGTTTGTCCCGTTTAGCTGCACTGAATGATCGAATTATAATATCACTAGTGTGTGGCCACCATAGGGCTGGTCATAAATCTCTCACTGAACACAGATGGTGCGCAAGCTACACATCCTTTTATGAATTCCTGAACTGCCAAGACTCAGCCTTCCCACTAGCTGACCAACAGCAGAGCATATTTACCTTGTGACTATAGAATAGGAGAGCAGAACATACAGTGCATAGAGAGAGAGAGAGAGAGAGAGAGAATCTGTGTTTGCTAGTGAATCCTGATCCAGTTGTCACAAGCAATGCTCATTCTCAAATATGTGGCATGGCTTGCCATCTTAAAAGTACCTACAGGGCTACATCCATATATAAGGATGGAGATAAAGCCTTCTGCATTTAAAAAAAAAAAAAGACAATCTATTCAGGATGTGTTGGTGGAACATGACATGTATCTATAATGCTGATCACACATATGGCAATTGCTTTTAACCTGCCCTTTATCACAAAAACCACCAAATGGAACAATGCACCCAGCAGTATCTGGTGACACTGTGTTGGTGTCAATACGTGCCTTAGTCCATTGGGTTGTTTTTGAAAACTATCTGTCATGTGTGTGGCCAACATAATTCTGACTCGTTAAAAAAATTGTCCGAAATTGGAAAAAAAAAGATTTCCCCCCTCTGGGCCATAGTTAATAGAGGATCTCTGGTTGATTTCAAATGAATCGGTGGCCATTGTCTTACTGTTTTGCTTTCCTCCATTGTGACAGGATAATAGAGATCCTTTGAATGCTCATGAACCTGCTTCAAGCTTGAAAAGTCCCAGAATCCCTTCCTTCGGATGCGCATTGTAAACTGGAGATTATTCATATTGCATGTATTGAAATGCGCTGTGGTTCTAATGTGTCATTAATTCAGCACAGTGGATCAGAACCTCCTTGTCTGAACCTAGTTCAGGATAATGGAGAGGGCAATGGGTGTATATACAGGTTGTACAGGGTACATTATACATGTGAAACTCATTTTATTTTCTTCTATGTTGTATGACTTCGAAGGATCTGGCCAATGTTCCCGTCAAAACAGCTTTCACTGCCAAACAAGTGATCTGGGAATATCAGGCAAGAACAGGTACCTGGAACTATCAGATGAGGGGTGAGTACCATGTACATATCTATGCATGTAGCACTCAGTGTACCTGTGCTGAGGAAAACCTCAGACCTGCCTTCTGAAACTGCTAGTTGCCTGGCTGGCATGTTGACCATCTGACTTTAATACATTACGTGTAGATGACCCAGAACGGGTTCAGATCGAGAGCTGCGACTTCACTTGCTGCATACTTGTTTCAGGTCAATGACACTAAGGTATTGAGGCCAGAGACAATGATATAACTGGCATTATTCAGAAGGAATCTTACAATGACAGCGTCTGTATTTGAGGTTTCCTTTCATATCACAGGATATACTATACAATACTTTATTGTCCATGAAACCTAAAGTGTATCTAATTCAATCGCTTTTACATTTTGGAGAGAGTAAGAAATGGTAGCATGTCAGGTTCTTATTGCACCTACTTGAAGTTCATATGAACAATCTACTGAAATCACTTATCAGTACATAATGCCAACATTCTGAGGGCATGGGGACCCTCTTTATCAAGGTGACAAGCAGGGACCTTGAGCAAGGAGCAATACAAGGTGCCAATCAGTTCATGTGCTGACAAGGAGCATGCTGATAGGAAAAGAGAGCAGAATGATTGACAGAGAGATGAGCTCATCACTGTGCTGCTTCTCCTTTCACTGTCCAGTCACAGGCTGGGGCAAGTCTAGGATGACCTGGGATTAGAGGAAGTGGGCTGAATGATACTGGCAGAAAAAAAGGACGGAGGGGGGGGATAGGGGACTGAATATTGTAGCAAAAGCATGTTTTTTCTTTTAATGGGCTATTCATTTTATACTGTTATTTTTGGCCAATGTTCTGCTTGAAGGGCTGAAGGGGCATTTACACGTTTGAGGTTCCTGTAGACATGAGACAATTGTTTTGGGGAGGCTTCCTTTTGTCTTTGGGTACCAGCTAATGATTCTTGGAGGTTCTAGTAACTGTCTGGGCTGGATATATGCATGTTGGCTGTGTAGACAAGTCCAACTATCATCCATTGCCCATGGCCAGCTAAATACTAGGGATGCACCGATACCGATACTAATATCAGTATCGGTGCCCATGCCGTGTATCTGGCTGAGTACTCGTACTCCCACAAATGATCCGATGCCAGGGAGCAGGGCAGCGTGTCATTCACATGCTGCCCGGCTTTCCTGATTGGCCGGGAAGCTGGCTCACTTGTGACGAGAGAGCATGGAGCCGGCTTCCCGGCCAATCAGGAAGCCGGGCAGTGTGTAATAAGATTGAAGAAAATAGGTCACCAGCACTCCATAAGTTAAAATTAATGAGTCCTTTTAATGGACAATGATGTCACAGAAATCTTGTGTTTTGCACGGTGCCATCCGTGAAGTTACTTCGAGCACCATTTATTTGATTGTTGGCCGGGACTGCTGAAAGGTGTGCGGAGGGCACCTCCATCAAGGGCAGTGTGTAATGACGCACTGCCCGGCTTCCTGATTGGTCGGAAAGCTGGCCAATCAGGGCGCCGGGTAATGACGCAGTGCTCGGCTTTTTGATTGGCCGGGAAGCCGGCTTCATGCTCATCTCCTCATGACGAGTGAGCATGGAGCCGGCTTCCCAGCCAATCAGGAAGCCAGGCGCCGCATCATTACACGGAGCCCGGCTTCCTGATTGGCCAGAAAGTCGGCTCAATGCTTTCTTGTCACCTAGTGATGAGAAGCATGGGGACGGCTTGCCTGCTAATCGGGAAGCCGGGTGGCGAGTCATTACACGCCACCTGGTTTCCTTAATGGGACTTCCGGTATTGGTATTCGGTATCAGTGAGTAGTTAAAAAAAAAATATCCGTACTCGTACTCGATACCGAAATAACGGTATCGGTGCATCCCCAATAAATACTGTCAGCATGATTCATTAACAACAATGCTTTTGTCTGACTTGTAACTAAACATACATATATTGGGGAGGTATATTATTCCCTTTTTGCTGTGCATTTAAAAAAATAAGAAAAAAAGAAAACAATAATAACAAACTATGGCCAACCTATATAGATTATTTCCATATGTGGTCGCTTTACCTGGAAGTGATTTTCTCACAGCTAAGATTCAGACATCATGTGACACATTTAAGCTCGTGAAAATAAAATGAAAAAAAATATTTTGTTGATTATTTAAGAAAAAAATGTATTTTTCCTATATTCCTCTACGAAAGATATTGTGTCGCCATGTCACTAACAGGCATCCTCATGACTTGCACCCCACAGCTCATTGCAGCCTGCGGTAAAGAAGGGAGACCTCCGTAGCGGGATGAGGAAAATCTTTTCCAGTATTGGCTTGACTTCACGGCCCAAGCTGGAGCGTTTCCAGTCCTCCAGTCTGGAGCAGATTTCTTCCCCGTACCATGCTGGTGGTTCCACTTCAGTACATGGAGACACTGACTCATGTGATGGATCAGTGAAGCCTGGGAAGATAAAGAAGAGTCCCTCGCTGCAGTCTCTGAAACTGGTGAGTAGAGCAGACTACTGGCTGGGTAAACATCATTCAGCTCAGCTAGTTCTATGTGCACAGCAGCTGATGGCCGATAAGTGCCTCTTGTATCACCTACTGACTGTCCCTCTGGCAGGTTCTTATCTGCCCTCAGCACCTGCTTTATCTGTGTACTGTACACAAAGCACTGACACTTGTTCTCCACTATTAGTAGTCAGCTGATAATCACATCACAGCCAGTGACTCCAGCATTTAACTTTTTCCCTTCCAGATGGGAGACAAGTTGATGGCAGAGAATGAAGGACTTAAAGTGTATGGCAAAATAAAATGTAAAAAACCCAAATTCAGTTCACCTTTGTAATACATGTTCATTTACCCTCTTTATAAACACTGCATCTATATAAGAACTCTTGTTGACCCTGCCAGAAATCCAGTGAACTCCTAACTTCCTGTATTAAGGTGACACCTCTGCATTGAGTTTCCAAGTGATGTTGCCAGCCATGCCTGAATTCTCCCATGCTGGACTACAGAAAACTTCTGCTTATTTTAGCCCTCATTCACACCTCTGTGATGCAACATGGCAGAGGTGCTGCAGGGTGCGTTGTGGTGTCTGGCAGTGGGGTAGCCCATTCATTTACATCACACTGAAAGAAGTGTAAGGGACATTTTTTCTTTTTAATTGCATCGCACCATATCACATGCAATGATATGCAATTGGGGTCATTTATCAAAACTGGAGCAGAAGAATCTGGAGCAACTGCCTATGGCAACCAATCCGCTTCTCTCTTCAGTTTGTTCAGTTAAGATTTAAAAATGAAAGAGAGAAGCTGATTGGTTGCCATGAAAAGCAGCTCCAGATTTTGTCTGCTCCAGTTTTGATAAATTCCCCTCTCCGTGTCTGGTTCTGCTCTCAAGAGCACAAAATTTGATGTGTGGGTGCCACTTAGGGCACCTTTCCGACCAGCATCCCTCAATCAGCTGATCGAAGGAGCATGTTGGGAAAATTGTCAGCCAAAGAGATCTAGCAGCCAGCTCTGTGCAGGTATTCAGACAGCGGCTGCCAATTCCTCGATCAACACTCCTTCCTTGATGGAGGAATCTCTCCTATTTTCCATGTTCAGCTGGCAGGTTGAAAGAAGAAAATAGAAACGTGTATACCGGGTTTAAGTAGTGTACATTTGTAATGCTTCTAGAATCTACTGTATAATGTATTCATCCCAAAGGTGTTCTATCCGATTGAGGTCAGGACTCTGCAGGCCAGTCAGGTTCCCCCACTCCAAACTCGCTCATCCATGTCTTTATGGACCTTGCTTTGTGCACTGGTGTGCAGCCATGTTGGAACAGGAAGGGGCCATCCCCAAACTGTTCCCACAAAGTTGGGAGCATGAAATTGTCCAAAATGTCTTGGTATGCTGATGTCTTAAAGAGTTCCCTTCACTGGAACTAAGGGGCCAAGCCCAACCGTTGAAAAACCACCCCACACCATAATCCCCCCTCCCCCAAACTACACTTGGCACAATGCAGTCAGACAAGTACCGTTCTCCTGGCAATTGCCAAACCCAGACACATCCATCGGATTGCCAGACAGAGAAGTGTAATTCGTCACTCCAGAGAACACGTCTCCACTTCTCTAGAGTCCAGTGGCGGAGTGCTTTGCATCCGACGCTTTGCATTGCACTTGGTGATGTAAGGCTTGGATGCAGCTGCTCAGCCATGGAAACCCATTCCATGAAGCTCTCTACGCACTGTTGTTGTGCCAATCTGAAGGCCACATGAAGTTTGGAGGTCTGTAGCTATTGGCTCTGCAGACAGTTGGCGACTTCTGCGCACTGTGTGCTTCAGGCTGCGCTGACCCCGCTCTGTAATTTTACGTGGCCTACCACTTGGTGGCTGAGTTGCTGCTGTTCCCAGTTGCTTCCACTTTGTTATAATACCACTAACAGGTTATGTGGAATATTTAGTAGCAAGGAAATGTCACGGAACACCTGAATCCAATAATTTGGAGGGGTGTCCCAATACTTTTGGCAATACAGTGTATATAACAGTAGTGTGTTTTCCAAAGAGTTACATTGTATAGATATATGACAGCAGTGTGTTTTTTTCCAATGGCTGCACACAAATCTTTAAGACTTTCAGTATTTACAATGCCCAGGCTTTATCAGGTGACACTGGCAGTCAAGTTCAGCAACCTGTAAATGGCTGGGTGCTTAGCAGGAAATATAACTCATTACAAATGCCAATTACAGCACATTTCTCTGAATCTTCTAGTAATTATCATCCCGCTGAGAGCACCATCTATATCACCCCTGAAATTCCCCGGGGACCCCGCACTGCAGAAGAGCCCTGTGGGCATCAGCCTGGCAGTCTAGCAATGCTCTGTACAGTTTGTGCACGCTCAGGGTAATACAGACAGGGAATAGGGAAATAGAAGAAAGCCTTCAGGGCTTTACTTCATCAGAGGGAGAGCCCTGACAGCACAAGGACTCCACAAGTCTAATTGGCTCTACAGTGCATTATATTATATCTACTTCCTACCTAATTGTATTAACTGGGAGCAACACACAAAGCTGTCTATCTGCTGTTATTGATTGTGATGAAACATTTCACTCAAAGAGCCGCTTCAGATGTTTGCGGTCCATTGCATTGCCGCATGCACAAACATTGGACATAAAACCAGACTTGCAGAATTTTTTTCAACAGCGCAGTCTTATGTCACTTACCGTACCCGGTACTTGTGCCTTTGACTGCCATTCTTATTGAGTGGCAATGCGCTGCACAAAATGTAAGGTGCTGCAGTAACGTGCAGTCAACTGCGTGTTACAATTGGTTAGGGATGCGTGAAAAATGACCCGGCACTTTACATTTTTAAACTGAAGTGGCTGCCTGAGGTCTCACGCTTACTGGGGAGCTCAGCAGCCTCCCTGTGAACTGTGGCGCCTGTTTACCATACCGGCTGCACATCCGCCCCTCCTTCCTGGGTAACCCTGCTGCCCGCCCACAAAACCCTCCGGACCCCTGGTGAGTGAGACCCTGCACAGACATCCCCACCCCACAGAGTATGCAGCTTCATATTCTGTATTGCTTTATAAAGTATTGCTTGGATTTGTAGTCTTCTATAGCTGGTGGTATTCTGCATTGCTATATAATGTATTGCTGGGATTTGTAGTCCTCTATAGCTGGTGCTATTCTGCATTGCTATATAATGTATTGCTTGGATTTGTAGTCATCTATAGCTGGTGTTATTCTGCATTGCTATATAATGTATTGCTGGGATTTGTAGTCATCTATAGCTGGTGCTATTCTGCATTGCTATATAATGTATTGCTGGGATTTGTAGTCCTCTATAGCCAGTGGTATTCTGCATTGCTGTATAATGTATTGCTGGGATTTGTAGTCCTCTATAGCCAGTGGTATTCTGCATTGCTGTATAATGTATTGCTG